ATTCTATCGATAATAAAACTCTATACAACAATTTTATCTTAAAAAATCTATCCAAAAATCGCTTACATAGCATCATACGTGTCACAATAATACCTATTTATCGTCTACGTGGTGCGGCACTTAATGAAAATCTGGAATGCCAAGTGTCGCTGTCTCGTGGTCTGGCTGCGAGACCGGCTTTATTTATTAGTGACATGATATGATATTAGATTTTACAATTTAAAAAAAAAAAAAAAAAAAAACTAGGTGGAGGTAAATGACACCATATATTGTAGGATGTTTTTATTTATGAGTATATAAAAATTATATAGAGGTCAATTAAAAAACTAAGAAAAAGGATTGACAAGTATTAAAAAAAAACAAAAAAAACAAAAAAAACCCTAGCCTCATCTCTCTCTTCTCTCTCCTAAACTCTAGCCTCCATTGTTAATTTTGAAGGGGCTTCCATCGGATTTCACCAGTGGAAAGCCCCAATCTTTATTTCATTTAAGCTTTTTGTTTCATAGGTTATAATAATGTCTCCCTCGAATGAAAGAAAGGGTTTATCTCCTTCGAAAGACGGTTTTTTCGATCTCCTTCGAAAGAAAAGATTTTTTAAACTCCTTTCGAAAGACAAGGTTTTATTTGTGTTTAATTTGGTCTCTAGTTGTGCGGGGCTACGATTGATTATGGCTCGGATTCGGATTACGAAATCAACACAAGAATTTTCTTTCTCACAAAATTGCGAAGCAACGACAGATCCACCCAAAAAGTTGTACGAGACAACGAATCGAGAATGTGCTGAATTGTTATATTTATGTATTGGACTCTTAGCCCTTCCCCGATTAATTCTTAATTGATTTTGTTAAATTCGTTTTCATTATCGTTAATTGTCAATTGTAGATGTCATGTTTCAGAAAGTGGACTTTTCCAATCTTGAAGTCCCCGCTAGGGTTGTTTAGTCTATACTGGTTTTAGGGCGTAGAGGCTTTCCCTGCTTTCCCGTTGTAGAGGGATTTTCAGATCTTTGATATATAGATCTTCTCTTAAGGGGTAGGTCGAAGACCTATTGATGATTTCGCTAGATTGGCCACTGTTCTATTGAATAAAGAGAGGAAACCCGATGTTCGAGGTTGGAATCGCCCTAGAGTGAAGTTGTGAAGTTCTCGAACAGACCCTTCCAAAGGAGATTTCCGCCCGGTTCAACTTGAGTACTCCATTCGGGGTGATATATAAAGGCAAAAATCGTCAGCAGATTAGCTAGTTTTGAAGCCGGTTGAAGGGGGATACGAACTATCGGATATAGTTCGAAATGAAGCTATTAAATGGCTCAATCCGGCCCCTAAATCTAAATAAGTCGCGAAGGTTGATGGCTTCACTAAACCTTGCTGCCTTTACCTTCAAGTCCTCCGATCCTCTTCCTTACGGCCTATCGTTGGTTAAAGTATTTCCTTCACGCGGTCTTCTTAAGCCTATGTCTTGTGCTCTTCCTTCTTCTTTCCTGTGCCGCACAAACCAAACAAGCTAAAGCTTGCCTGGTTGGTACAATAAAAAGGGTCAAAGTTCGTTAGCTGAACCAGTTGTTCCTGCTTCTACCACTCACTCGCATGCCTAAGCTCCTTTCGTTGCTTGAGAGTTGTAGGCAGATGTAAGTCAGTCTAAATAAGATGATACCTATGGCGTTATTTAATGAAATTTAGTGTCCTTTAGGACTTCTTTTTTTTTTAAAAAAAAAAAAGAAAAGAAAAAGGAAGTTGAGGTAAATGACACCATATATTGTAGGATGATAACTAAATAATATATTACTAAAAATAGTATTAAGTTATGAAAGTATGTCAAAATCACGCGTATATCAGTGTAATTAATGTTTATTTTACTTTAATATTTCCATTTAAGTTCTCTTACCCAATGCTTCGGGAGCGCTCGTTACCTTTTGCCTTTTATCTATGAGTATACAAAAATTAAATAGAGTTCAATTAAAAAACTAAGAAAAAGGAAGTTGAGGTGTGGCGTTTTAAATTGTGGTAGAGCTTTAAATGAAGGGGATCTTGGATTGGAAGTTCCTCATTTCGGAGCGTAATTAGGCTAATTTTTTTTTTATTATTATTATATATTTTTTAACTAGATACAATAAATGCAATCACTCATAGACTTGTCGCACATCAATTTGGAACCAAATTTCCCTTTATAGCATATTGACATTGGTCATGAGATCAAATCTCACCAATTAGAGTTTGCAGGGAGAAGGGGGAGGCCAGGACGGGCTTAATTATAATGTGATTATTGGTACTAGGCCAATGGGTTGGGCCTTGCAACGAGCTGAGGCAACTCATATTGAATTGTTAAAGAATAGTTCTGAACTTCTGATAGAAACCTCACCTCATATTTTACTCATAGAGTCATACTCCGTTGTCAATTAATGGATACTAATAACTTTGTGAAATATGTTTGTGACTAGTATAGTTTCCAATTTTTGACTATGAGACTCCCTTTAGTAACTCATACTTCGTATTGTTTCAACATTTGAGATTTACTTTCTCCCAAATAAGTTAATGCACTGTCTTGGATCACACACTCGCAGCAAAGAAGCCTGCTTCTGACAAGTAAGGCTTGAGGGGCGAAAGGCCTTGGCTTGGACGACTTGGTTGTGAACAAAACTAGCACCGCGCCACTTATAGAGAGCCCTGTATCATACTGAATCACTTCAATATAACACTCGTAGTCCTTGTTGATCTTCACTAATAAGGTTGATGACACGAGCAACAAAGAACTCAAAACCCTACAGTACATAGGCTCCAATTCATCAATTGTACTGTATAGACTATTGCTCATCATAGGCCATAGCAAACAACATATAATTGTGAGTTGTAATTGTAGGCTAGATAGTTTCATACAAACTATATATACTGATACAGAGCCATTATTACACATTGTCGAAAAGAAAGTGTTGTTTATGTCCAAATCAACTGGATAGGTTAACAACAATCGTACGTACTCATAGTCATATATAGATTTTACACCTCTAACTGAATATAAATTTCTTAAGAAATTGGATATATATGAAGATGGCTGCCACTTCTTCCCTTCTGTCTAGGCTATTATTGCTGCACGGTGTAAGCTTCTGTACCACAATTAAACAAGCAAAATACTACGTATTAGAAGTATAAGAGGGCACAGTACGCAAAAATAAAAAGTACTCGTGCTAGGGGAGGGGGATTTTGTAATCTGTGGTTTATACACACGGGTGTACAGTGCTCATCATACACCCGGATAAATAAAAAAAAAAGCGGAAAGAACAACCCTGTGTTTCATAAAGAACATACATGTATTTGACAAAGAACATGGTTGTATTTGACAAAAACATGCATTACCAAAGAACATAAAGATATAATAAAAAGAATGAGATAAAAGCTTGATAAAATTTTCTGAAAAATTACACATTATTAACGGGAAAAATTTAGAAGTGATAAATAATCGAGTAGGGCCGGGCCATATCATAATTTCTCGTGCTCAAACCCGTAGAAAAGTAGCGGGTTTTCGGGCTTTTTTCGAACCCGGATCGAGTTTTAACTAAAAATGCATTTTTAGGTTTGCCCAAACTCACCCTATTTCGGGCCGGATCGGGTCGGGATGTGAGTCATGCCAATGTTGATCACCTCTTAAAAAATCCTTACCAAAGATATCATTTCCCCAAAAAATAGTTTTCTATCTCTCCAAAAAAAAATTCAACTTCCCATAATAATTTAGTTTTTTTTACTCTAACATTATTTTCAATTAAAAATAATTTAAGATTTCAATATCAAATTTCAAAATACCAAATGTTAAAAAGAACATAATTTATATTGTAAAGTACATATAGTTAATACCTAAATAACACACTAATCAAACTCAAAGAATGTGCGATAATAAAAGTAATTTAAATATGACATGATAATAAAAAATAGAATTTGGGCGTCACTACGACCTTAAAGAACATACACGCCAAATTCAAAGAACATACTTTGTATTATTAAACCCAAAAAAAAATATGTTTATCAACATATGTTAAATAACATAAGTTATAATGTAAAGAACATATAATTTTACTCAAAGAACACACTGATCACACTCAAATAACATATTAAAGGTATGTTCTTTGTCAAACATAGGTATGTTCTTTATCAAACACTATATGTTCTTTCCGCCTTTTTTTGTTTACCCGGGTGCACCATGAGCATGGTGCATCCGGGTGTATTATCTAATTTTCAGGTTTTTGACGTATAAACATCAAGAATTCAAGATGTAGGAAATATAGTGACATCAATAATTTTGAATTCACGAGGTCTAGGCTATTGGTTAAATCCGAGCCTAGTTATATACGAAGTACAAAATACATTAACAACCCACTTGGTAGCTCCGTACGTACCTGGTATTTACGTAACTTGTGATTTAAACTTTCAATAACGAAGTATATACTCCGTATAACTTGGGATTACTGCCCCTGCCCCCCCCCCCCCCCTCTTTCTGTTAGAACTAATAATTGATTTTGCTAATAATTTTTTCTTGTACTGTTTCAGCTTTTTTATAATAAAATAAAATATAGATACGTAAGTAGGATAAATTTGTAATGTTAAATGAAATCAAATATAGGTACGTAAGTAGGATAAGCTTGCAAACTTTATTAGGGGTTTTTTTTAACTTTTTCATATAATTAGAAAATTCACCTATGAAAAGTAGATGCATGAATATATAACAAAACTTTCTAGTTTCTACTACTCTATTGCATTAAAACGTCATTGTTTAACCTACTTGGAAAAAGTTATTTAATTAAGTGAATTGTATGAAAACATCCCCCTTGACTATGTCAAGATAGACAAAGTCATTACCTGCTAAGTGATGAAGTTCATTACATTAATTAACTACTCTAACTGAAAAACTAAACTATATTAGAGAAGAAAGTTTCATGTGTAACGACCAATTCGACGTATTTACGTACGTCTTTGAACCATATCATAGCTTCCCAAATCTCAACTATAAAAAGGGATCATTTAGCATGCAAAGATCACAATGCAACTTGAATTTGAAATAAACCTTCTTCACATATCTTGAGTGTAATATACCAATTTACATAAGAAAAAAAAGAGATGGAAGCTCGTCATTTTTTTGCTTGCCTTATTTTCTTTGCCATGTCTTCCTATGTGGCCTACGCGACGGATCCTACTCAGCTACAAGACTTTTGTGTTGCGGTGAATGATCCAAACAAAGAACGTATGTTTTTCATCCCAATATATAAATCCCAAACGATTTGATTAATTTTTATTTCTATCAATTAGTACTTTTTTTCTTTCAATAAATTGTTACGTTGTTAATGGTTTTAACTAATTTGCAGTGTTTGTGAATGGACTGTTCTGTAAGAATCCAATGGACGCCAAACCCGAGGATTTCTTTTTCGATGGGCTAGACAAGCCAGGATTCACTGGCAACATGTTACGTTCCAATGTCACACTAGTCTCCGCGTTACAACTTCCAGGGCTCAACACCCTCGGCATATCTTTGGCTAGGATTGACTACGCACCCTATGGCCTAAATCCCCCTCACACTCATCCTCGTGCAAGCGAAATCCTTACGGTTATGGAAGGAACCCTCTATGTTGGTTTCGTAACCTCCAACCTTGCAAACGGCGATAACAAGTTGTTTGCTAAGGTGCTTAACAAAGGAGATGTTTTCGTTTTTCCACAAGGTCTCATTCATTTCCAATTCAATGCTGGAAAAACTCCTGCTGTTGCTATTGCCGGATTAAGCAGCCAAAACCCTGGTACGGTCACTATTGCTAAGGCCGTGTTCGGGGCTGAGCCACCTATCTCTGTCGATGTTCTAAGCAAGGCCTTCCAGCTAGATGAATACATGGTAAAGAAGCTCCAATCACAGTTTTGGATGAGCACCTAATTCTTCCACGACTTTGGACTATTTATACAAAATTGTTTATGTGGTGTTTGATATGAAGAATACTACAATATTTTATTTTTGCTTATATTTTGATTTGAATAATAACCAAGTGATCGATATGGGCTTGGTTTGTCAACGTTGTTTCATCATCATGTTATAAATGTATCCTACTATGCATGGGATATTATTTCCTTATTTACTTGTTATAAAAGTGAATTATTACGGAAAAGTATTATCAATTACTACTTTGGTCCTTTTTTTTTCTTCATATATATAACTTTCAATGCATACATTTGAGCATTATTATTATCTTCAATTATCATGTACTTTGAAATATTTTATAAAGTACATTAATATAATATGAAGTGTTTTGATCTGATTAATTGTACATAAGAAACTGAATCAAATAAACAATCATTTATGTTAGTGGACCATAACCATATCAACCAAAAATTGATAGTTGAGGCACAAGAATATGTTTTATACTTTATCACGTCCCCTCACATGAGAGCCCTTTGGGTTTGAAATGTAGATGCAGCATGAGTCCTCCGCATACCCTACGCGAAATATTCCACTTTAAAAGGAAGGGTGGATGAGATTCGAACCCGTGACCTTTGTGTCACGCTGGCTCTGATATCATGTTAGTGGACCATATCAACCAAAAGCTTAAACTGATGATTGAGGCCCAGGGATATGTTTTATACTCTATCAATTTATCAAAACAATTAGAACTAGTAAGCTACGATTTAAATTGTTTAAGTCTATTATGATATGGTCTTTTTTAATCACAGTAGATAATAATAATAATAATAATAATAATAATAATAATAATAATTCCTAAATATATGATGAGCGCATGTAATTTAAAATTTCATACCGAATAGTAAACTATAGTGTATTGAGTTTAAAAATAATAACATCTTAACATAATAGGAGAGATATGGAGCTTTTAAAAATAAAATGAGAAGAGTCAATGTTCAACACTTGAACTAACATTATAACGACGTACATTTGTTGATTTGGGTAAGTAATAACTAAAAAATCATGGTGTATTTACAAATGATCGAAGAGTTCAAGTAGTGGATAAGAAATGGAGCACAATTCCCTAATTAAGTACGAGTAACAAATACATCCAAAGTCCTAACATCTGTGATTGGGCGTCAATGTTGAGTTGGAGATTTTGTGGAAGACTTTCTGCCGACACCCTTTTTTTTTTTTTTTTGGGGGGGGGGGGGGGTGCAAAACATTCTTTTCACTTGTTGACTTCTTGTTCCTAAGGTTTATTAATTAGATACAGAGTTAACATGGGGAGAAGCCTGCCTATGAGATGTTCATTTTTTTTGTGACAACAATACAAACCATTAGATTATAGTAGAAGCAGTAAATGAATAAATGCGAGAACTATTGGCTATTACAAATTATGGTGATGTTTTCCCAAAAAAAAAACAATAATAAACAAATTATAGTGATGTCCAAAGGAGTTGGCTTTTAACGGAATAAATTGAGTTTCAATTAAGTTTTGCCATCAAATCATCAATCCAACCATATATTTAGGGGTGAAAGTTTGGTTTGCGGTGTGGTTTATAGCCCAAATCGAAACCAACCACATTAATTCGGTTTTGAGATTTTTCAAACCACACCGCACCATATTACTATTGAAATCGAACCAAACCACACCGTTTTAAATTCGATTTTTCAAAAGAAAATCGAACCACACCGAAATTTTTCATCCTCTTCCTTTTTGCTTCATCTAACTGGTCATTTACTTCAACATTGCTCACATTAGTTGACAATCTAGGACATAAAAAAAACACAAATTTTATTATTTTTTGGCTTTATATATGTAGGGTAGTAATTAGTATTGGGCTAAGCTATAATTTGGATATGAGCCATAATTCGGTTTGGATTTCGGTTTTTGGTTTTTCAAATCTTAAAACCGAAACCAAACCATATTAATTCGGTTTTGGGATTTCTCAAACCGCACCGAACCATATTATTTGCGGTTTGGTTCGGTTTTAAACCGCATTAGTTTCGCCCCTACATATATTAGTGAGGTTTAAAAAAATACTAAAACTTCCTTTATCTAATTGCCTTTTTTTTTTTTTTTTTTTTTGTATATATATATATAATTCTTAAAAAAAAAAATGCCTTTTTTTATAATAACATTCAAGACACCCATTTAAAATTTTGATAATATGTGTTTAAAAAAAAATGATAATATGCAATGAATTTGACAAGCTAAGATTACGAATATAATTTAAGTAGTTGTATGTGGTCTTAATTTGAATATGCTCTAGCTAAGCTAGGTCGTGTTGGTGTGATAATCAAAACTAGATTTCACGTTCAATAAGTGAGGGTCAGTAGTAGGATCGAATTGGTAAATTGGATCCTAAGATCCTACAATATTGAGAAAACGAGTAATAAAAATGATACACATCTACGCAATAAAAATGCAAAACTTCATGTACATTTTTTTATTTTTTGATAAAATCTTCATGTATGATTAATTATGTAGTCGAGTTGTCATTTTTTAGGCTTAGGGAAAGATTAGTTGCTTTCAGGCTCATTTTAATAATGAGTAATAAGTTTGAGCCTACACTATCCTGTACGATTCCATCTAATCTTTAATGATTTTATACGATCTGGACTATTTTAATAATGATCCAACTGCAAAATCAAGATCGCAATTGTGGGATCATACATGATTTTATAGGATCATACACAATTACGTACGATCTTGACCGATCTTACAATGATCCCTTCTACAATGTGATTTCGCTTCTGACCCAAATCATTTAACTAAACTTGAATCAATATACCATCCCGATCGCAATTGGTTATAATAGCTTATTAACTAATAAATGTTATTTGTCTAAACATTAGTAGTTGATAAAATTAGGTGTTGAAATAGTTTTATTAAAAAAAAAAGCTATAAAAAAACCCTTCGAAAGTTTTTTTTTTTTTTCTCTGGCTTTTCCAAAACACAACCTTAACTAGTAGCAATAACCCTAGAAAATTTCACTAAACACCACTTTTTTTTTTTTTCAAAATTCCAAGTTAGTTTCCTTAAAATTAGATTTAATGTAAAGCATTGAATTACACCTAGTTCTCGAAGTATTTAGACAATATCAATGCACTATACTGTACATAGCATGCACTATACTTATAACAATCATTCATGGAAGATGATTGAACCTAAGGTCAAATCCAAAAGAGGGGATTGGGACCCTTGGTGGCTTGTCTTTTAGGTGGGTCTTAAGGTAGTCCACAACAAGTCCAAATAATGGATGGGGTTATAACAAACTACCACCTCTACTAATACAATACTACCAAAGCTGTCCAAAACAAACACAATTTAGCATTGCCCTATAGCCCCTACTCATTCTCAAGCTACACAAGGAATGTGCCAAAATAATTCAAAAATAAAGAAAAAAAAGTTCAAGTCTTTAAGTCCAAAAAAGGGAATTTTGACTTTTCATTCTAGCCATACACAAATTTACATGTCATCTTTCTCACATGACATTATACACTCAACCTCCCACCAACATCATATGCTCTCTTTTCTTTCTTTTTCTCTTTCCTTCTTCATTACGCCCTCTTAATCGCCAGCTCTAATCACGTTTCCCCCCTTATTATCTTCATTTTGTGATACCCATTATCTTTTTCTCATCATTTCCTCAACCTCCCCCAATTAAAAAGATCTTGATCCAAAAATTCCTGTCTTTTTTAACTTAATTTCACATTCCCAAAAAACCCACTTCCCAAATCTCCCAAAAACCAGTAAATTACTAAACTTTACTCCAATTTGAGTTCAAAAATGACTTAAATTAACCAATTTAAGCTCATAGTTTTCCTGGGTAAGTTGCATTAAAATGGATGGGTTAATGGGGGATGTCACTAAGATCAGGAAAAGGGGTTGTTCGCCATCTTCCTCAACATCATCAGTGATCCAGAATTACAAATTCAAAAGGGCAATTTTGGTAAGAAAAAAGGGAAGTGGCGGTAGTGGCGGCGGTAGAAGCGGCGGCGGCGGCGGAGGTGGCGGCGGAGGAGGGGGATCCACTACGCCAGTACCAAGTTGGAGAATGGTGGGGTCAAGGTCACCCTCAGTTGTTTTAAGAGTAGCCGCCGCATCGCCGCGGTATCTGCCGAGCCTCTCCGGCAGGTCAAGGTCAGGGCATGGGCATGAGCAAGGACATGGGCATCCGCCGGTATCGGCACGGAAATTGGCAGCCACATTGTGGGAGATGAATGAGGTACCTTCTCCAAGTTTGAGGGAGGAAGAAAGTTGTAAAGAAAAGAGAGTTGGGAGAAGGGATAAATTGAGGAGGTCCTGGAATAATTCAGGTTCTCTTCCTCCTCACTTGTCTGATCCTTCCCATAGTCCTGTTTCAGAGGTGGGTTTTTTTTATTTTATTTTATTTTATTTTATTTTATTTTTTTATTTCTTTGTTATACATTGTACATAAATTGACTTAAATTTGCATTGGTTACAGCTTGATTTGGAAAATCATATTCAAAGTTTGTGTGTCATGCATTATGTCAATGAACAACTTGGTTTGGGTTTTTCTTGAATTGATAGAAATTGAATTTTATCCAAAATTTTGCTGTTGTTAGGAATGATAGTGAGTCAGATTGGGTGTTAATTTGAGTTTGGCTTGGTCAAAGCTCGGTTCTAGTTTAGGAGTTTGGTTTTGTTTATAATCAGAAGAAAATTGATTGTTGAGTTCTTAGGTAGTATGTTGTCTGCCTGCTAAAATTGTTTTTTTGCTATTTGTTTTATTTACTGTTTCAATTGATAAAATTTTTTGCTTCTTCAGGCAGAAGTCATGTTTCTTGAGCAGTTACCTTGTCAATCCATGTATATGTGAATTGTTTCCCTGAAGCTGTTCCTATGAAGTTAATGTAGTCCGTTTTGTGTTGATAATTTAGAAGTTTTACTGATGCTTGTGTCTTGCACATTTTTATTGGTCTTATAGAGAACGGAGCGGCCTGGAAGTGGTAATCACCGGAGAAGAGAGTCGTCTATCACTAGGAGGCTAAAGATTGAGCATTTTGATTCCGTTAGTAACGCCAGCTTTATGGAGGTATAATGTGGTTTCCTTTCATTTTCACAAATGTGGATGTTCATTTGAATTCATAGCTCTGATGCCTGTTTGAGATTACACATACTCTGCCTATTATCATAACTTGTCTGCCTGTTATGTGTATTGGATAAGCTATCTGAATGTGTAACTGACAGCATGTGGAAGTCTGTGGATATCAAGATTAGATGTTGTAATTTATCATACATGATGCAGTTCATTGCTGCCCAATATTACAGTGTAAAAATATCTAGTTCAAGATTGTCGGACAGTGAAAAATTGCGTTTATAAGACTGAAATGTCATGTATCTATATATGGTGATGCACCACACTGGAGCACGATAAATTATTATTTATATTTCAAAGCAGGGTTTATCATAAAAGGTAGAAGGTTTTCTGAAGTTCATCTTCTTTTTTTGTCTACCCCTCTTACTATGTAGATAGAGACTAGATCTCAATGCCAGACCCCTTCTGGATCAACAGCTGGGGGAAGACCCCGTTTGAAGGATGTGAGTAATGCTTTGACCACTTCGAAGGAGCTGCTGAAAATCATAAGCCGCATGAGGGGTCATGAAGATCAACCTTCATCGAGTATGTCCCTTATCTCTGCCTTACATGCTGAGCTCGAGAGGGCGCGTTTGCAGGTCAATCAGATGATACAGGAAGATCTGTCTGATAGCAAAGAGATCAATTACCTTCTGAAGCGCTTCGCTGAAGAAAAGGAAGCATGGAAGAACAAAGAACAGGAAGCAGTTGAGGCTGCAGTTGAATCCATAGCAGGAGAGCTTGAGGTGGAACGGAAACTTAGGAGGCGACTTGAGAGCTTGAATAAAAAACTTGGTAAAGAACTTTCTGAGACTAAGTTGTCTTTGCTGAAGGCAGTGAAGGAACTTCAGAGTGAGAAGAGAGCAAGAGGAATTATTGAGCAGGTTTGTGATGAGCTAGCTGGGAATATCGGCGAAGATAAAGCTCAAGTAGCAGAGATAAAAAGAGAATCATTAAGAATGCAAGAAGAGATCCAAAAGGAAAGAGAAATGCTTCAAATAGCAGAGGCATTGCGTGAGGAGAGAGCTCAAATGAAACTCTCAGATGCTAAACTTCAGTACGAGGAAAAAAATGCAGTGGTTGATAAGCTGAGAAATGAGCTTGAATCATTCCTTAGAACCAATAGTAAAGAAAATGGATGTGGGTCTGTGTATCAGAGAAGAGATGTAGATTTGGCCTTTTGTCGAAGTGAAGCTAAGGAGAGTGATGAGGGAGAAGTTGAAAATACAACTGATGACGATGGTGAAAACTCTGGTGAAAGTGATCTTCATTCCATAGATTTGAATATAGCTGATCCTTACAAGAACAACTACAAGTTGACTAGTTCACCCATGATACCTAAAACTTCCAAAAGACACTCAGCTGATGAGCAACTCAAAGGGAGGAAATCAATATTTAATCAAGTAGCTAGAAGAAGCACTTCTTTACTTCGAAGCGTATCCAACATTGTTGAGTGGGGTTATGGCTCAAATCATGAAGTTGATAAGCAAACTCCAAGGAAAAGTTGTGGGGATGAGATACAAAAGTATAAATCAGGGAAAGGTCCACGAGACCATGGTTTGCCTAATTCTAGGCTGGGGTTGGAAAGAGAATGTGCAAGCCCATCCAGCCTACGTGGTCCACCATGGCCATCTCGGGAACCATGCAATGTTGCAATGCAGAGACCAATGACGATGGAAGGAAGTGGAACTAGGATAAGGCTTGAAGAAGGCAGAGTTGAAGGGCATAACTCAAGGAGATCAAGAAGATAATTCTAAGATTTGAATTTTAGGGCAACTGTCTTGTTGCCCATGGTGGTAAACCTTAATTTATATATTTTCCGTGGTTGCCAATGCTACCACACTTTCACCCTTTTTATCTTAGCCCTTTGTGATGATGTGGGTTTTTGTAAAGTAGGAAGCATGTTTAATTCTTTTTCTTTGAAACATCTCTTCTCTATTTTGAGAGGAAGACTTGATTAGTGTAGGGAGCTGTTTGAAAATTGCCAAAATTATCAGATTTACCCATGTACATTTTAAAAGAGGATGGCCTTCCCTGTTCAGATTGGTCTGTGTTCAGCATTTCATGCATTAAAGTCTCTACGATAGCAGCAATCGATGCTGTCTTCTTTCTTGCAGATAGTTTAATGTCCTATATCTGTAACCATCTTCAGAGAGTTAGCCTGATAGAATCCATTTTGCTTGAAAGATGATGCTTAAACTGTTACACAACTGATAACCATTAGCGTTTAAGTAATCAGGTTTCTATCCCAGAAGCCTGTCATACTTGTGCACTTCTAAATCAGCTTTGACTGCAATTGAAATTTCAGATTGTTGGTTGTGGAAGATAATAATGACTCTTGGTTAATACATAGGGGCAGAACCCCTATGAGGCTACGATACAACATCTGCCCTCCTGGTTCTTCCCTGTCAATCGACGAAGGCATGCAGATAAAGTCTAGCCGAATGCCATGATGGCAGTAGTTAGACATTAGAGAATTTTGTCATGTGGGAGTTGTTACTCTATAATCTCTCTATAAATAAAGTTTTGATGAATTATTGTTCTCCCTAAAAAGAGACTAAAATGATTAATAGCTCCTGATTGAAGTGATGAATCTTAAGCTGAAAGTTTAAAGGGGTTGATGACTATTCCGACCTACTGTTTTGTTCAATTGAAATTTGCCACTTGAGGACTGAGGAGACATGCTAACATGAGGAATCCCAGGTTCTTAATTCTTATAAATATTTTGCCAGTGAGCATCGTAAACATGTGTCCATGATCTAATTCAAGCCGAACTCAAGTCAATCTCAAAATCATCAGCAACACTGCCTAAAAATGTAATTTTCTCATGATATTACCAAATTCAGAAATCCACAATTAAGTTATTACACAACTCAGCTAGAAACATAATAAAAACATAAAGTGATTAATCAATCATACAATTACACTGCCTTGATAAAATAAAATAAAAAAGCATACAATAAAAAGATAGATAGTGTAGAATAAATCAATCGTCTAAGAATTTGCGAAGACGTTGTTTGACGAAATCGCTACGAGCTTTAGTGCGGGCTTGTTGAGGGGCGATGTTGGCGAAGGAGAGATAAGCTCCGACTGCAATCATAGTTACTCCGACGGCAACTCCCGCCGCTGTTGCCGCCATCTGCCGTCGTGTAGGAGGATACGCCCACAACATTTGCCCTTCTTTTTCTTTTTTCTCCGCCTTCCCGGTTTTAGTATTTTTAACCTTATTATTGTCTATTGAGCTAAGTTGGGTCATGGTACAATTGATATAGTGGGTGGGTCGTGGGTCATACTAAAACCCAAGTCTAATTGGTTCAATTTTGGCTAATCTAATTTAATACTTCCTCCGTTTCTATTTACTTGACGCGTTTAATTTAGACACACATATTAAGGAGATGAGAGAGAGTGAGAGAGAATGATAAAGCAAGTGGGGTAGCTAGTAAATGCAAAGTAAAAAACTTACCCCAAAAGGAAACGTGTCAACTAAAAAAAAAAACTTCCTAAATAGAAATACGTGTTAACAAAAAAAAAAAAAAAAAACTTCCTAAAAAGGAACACGTGTTAACTAAAAAAAAACGGTGGTAAATAGGATGCAACCTTAATTTATTTATTTTTGACAAGAATGCAACCTTAAATTAGTATAAGAACTCATACAATCTATGTTTATGACATTAGGGGAAAAATCAATATAATCTTTCTTTTAATTAGCATCACTAACACACATTAGGAGTGTCTTAAGAGTATATTCTCTTCATCTGCTTTTTACTCATTTAAACTTATTTGCTTTGGACTTTTACCTAATTGTATTACTTTAATTTATACGCATAAAGCTTTTATAATTATGCATGGAGCTTAAGTAGCTTTTTTTACATTCATTTTTGTTTGAAAACTTATTTTCTAGAAATAAACAAAATTAAACTAAGTTTATTTGAAAACTTTAGCTCGTCAAACAATTATAATAAAAAAAGAAACTTTAGGAAATAGGAAAGTGTACTACACACCCAATCACCAATAAACATAACATTGAAAGTGTAATACACACCCATAAACATAACAATGTTTTTTTTTTTTTTTTTTTTTTTTTTTGTGTAGTTTGGTTTAGTGCTATATATTGAACTGTCAGTAGTTGGACATATGCAGTAGATTGATTCTATATTATTCGAGTTTTTGGGCGGCAAGTTAATCATCACACGCTCATTTGTTCATTATTCATACAAAAATAAGATTTGCTGTACAACACAGATCAAGGACATTTCTCAACTACACAGTCTACAGGCTCTCATTGTGATTACTCTTACGGGCCGTTTGGAATGTGGGAATGGAAATTTAGGAATTAAAATGTGGGAATGGGATTGAAAATTGATTGTTGGGAATATATAAAAAAATATGACAATACTTTGTTTGGGTAGTGGAAGGGAATAGATGGGGAATAAATAACAAAAATACAAAATTACCCTTACTAATCTTTCTTTTCTATTCTTTTCATTAATGACAAAAATGTCATTTTTCACTTATTCCCACTCCCACCCATTTATTACCCACCCTCTCTGGGTAATAAATTGGTGGGAATTCACCCCATTTATTCCCAATCCCATTTAACAAACAAGAGATTGTTTTTTTTTTTTTTTGTTTTTTTTTTTATTTTTATTTGGGATTAAAAGTCCCATCTCCACCCTCAATTACCATTTACCGAACACCCCCTTAAGACACAGTCAATAGAACCACCATGCTTCTCCAAGTAAGAAATCGCGAGTGCAGCATGGAAAGCAGCCCCAACAGGAAAAGCTTCCTCATCAACAAAGAAGTACGGAGAGTGCAATGGCTTATCCGAGTTCAGGGTCACATTCTTTATTCCGAGAACAAATATAGCAGCTGGCATTTTTGAGGAAAAGAAGCTGAAATCCTCTGATCCCATGGTCAAGTGAAAGACCTCCAACTTGGACCTGCCAATCAGCGCCTCCACAACCTGTGTCCCGTGCTCATGGAGTGCCTGATCGTTAATCATCACAGGCCAAGGCATAGGCGTCTCTTCCAAGAAGTCCACCTCACCATGGCACTGATGCACAGAAGATTGCATCTCCACAATCTGCAATCATGTATTATTATTAATTTCATTTCTAAATTCTAATTCTATCTTGCGACAGTATTAGGAAATACTGGACGCAAAAGTGTTACCTCCTTAATCCTGTCTCTCAAGTAGGTGAGACCTTCAGAGGTCAAGCTTCTAAATGTTCCTCCGAATTCTACCTTCTCAGGGATCACATTTCCTGCTTGGCCTCCTTTAAAGTAACCAATAGTCACCACCTGTATGATCCATGAAACAAACAAATTAGGCAAAATCAGCACGCGAAACAAGAAGCAAAGATCACAATATTTAGATTAGAAGAATATAATATGCATCTATATGACTATCACCTCCAAACTTTTATTGAAATTTATTCACTCTAGTTAATATTGGAAAGTTTTACTTTATTATTTTCGGACAATCTAAATAGAAATGTGGCCTTTGGTTTAGGGACACAGTACTATATATGTCTCCCTGCGGTTGCAATTAATTATCTGGTAACGGTAATACCGTAATAATCAAAATATGTCATAAAGAGCTTTTTTTGGATCAAGACATCCTCAAATTAGGGCTACTAATCTATCAATAGCTCCTCTGCAGGTAAACAGTCCTATTCAGTGTTGAAAAATCAGTAATATAATATTACTGTAGATGCAGAGATTCCATATGATTTAAAAAACATGAGGACACGACATAGAGGCCTGAGTTATGCATTTTGGAGGTCTGATCAAGGACTTCAAAGTTTCTTCAGCTCATAAAAAAAGATTTCTAGAAGGATAGAGTAGCAATAATGATTGACAAACTAGGACAGAGCAAATGAGCATGCAATGACTCCCATTGTGCTTATTCTGAATGTTAATATGCACAGAAGTAAAAATGAGACTTACCCCTGACTCAAGAGGATTTGTTTCTCTAGAAATGATTTGCTGGAGTGCAATAGCAGTTGATGAAGCTGCAACGATGGGGTCTTTACTGAGATGGGGATGTGCTCCATGTCCACCTTTTCCTGTAATTGTTGCCTTAAACAACCCAGTACCAGCAAGAACTGGGCCTGCCTTGGAAGCAATACTACCTGTGGGCACTGTTGGCAGGACATGTAGGCTGATGATGGCATCGACATCATCTAGAGCATGTTCTTTGATCATATGGTATGCACCGGCATTACCTTCTTCACCGGGTTGGAAAACCAACTTGACTGTGCCCTTTTTTGTATTTACAATGAAAATAATCAGCCTGCGGAAGCATAATCACAACTATGGTGAAAATTTAGCTAAACTTTTACAACTGACCTTTAGCTGATCTTTCCTGCCTTGGAGTAGCTTGGCTGCCCCGAGTAGCATTGCCACATGAGTATCATGGCCACAAGCGTGCATCTTCCCATCATTTTTGCTTTTAAACTCCCAATCAACCAGTTCCTTCAAATTCCAAGTTAAATTTTAATGACCAGTCTTGAATTCAGAAATCAGAAACAAAGAAAGTCATTAAGTAGTTAGAACTTGGTACTACATAAAGTAGTCCTACAGCCCCCAAAAACCACAAAACTAGATGCACAAAATTCCAGCACTTGTATTGCTGGTGCATGACGGTCAATTCCTTTGCAAGCTAGTGTGCTACAGAAAGTGGCTGCAGCCCCTACATGCTTACAGTCGGGATTACATATTAAAAATAGTTTGATTCCGTAAAAGCTTATATACGTTGCTAGTCACCGATTATTGTCTGGCTCTGCTTGTGTTAAGAATTTCCCATCTATACAGAAAAATTAAGGGGATACAGCAGATGTTTATTTCAATTGCATGGGCCAATGACTTCTTAATCTTCTGCACCTTTCCTAGCCTGCTCATTCTCAATGAGAATATGGCAATTGAAATGTTCTTTTTACTTGGCAAAATGAAGTCTACTAGATGAAAGCACTATCCAAAAGCAAAGGTAATATTTTAAACTAAGCCCAAGCCTCAATCAGCTAATTTTTGAGATGTTATATACATTATTCAGTTATTTTCACCCTAGAAATCAGCAAATTGATGAATAGCTTCTATGCTTGGATTGAGAGTTTTGTATTACTAGGGTAATAAAAGTCAAACTAAACAAAATGAAAGTAAATATAGGGGAGGAGGAGATGGTGATGGTGTATTGCAAGGAGTTTTATGTAATGGTGGTGTGGTGATAGATGAAGGAAGTGGAACAATTACCCTCATTTTGGGGTAATAGTTACACTAGGGGGAGGGTGGGTAACTATTATCCTCATTATGAGGGTAATGATTCCTCCATCTCTCTCTTTTCCTCATGTCACAAATAACTTATTTCATTTATAAACATTTTATCTCCCTACAACATCACCTCTAATCACTATGTTTTTCTTACTTCGACTATTATTACCCCCTTAATTTATTACCCTCAATCCAAGCATGGCCTAAGTAGTTGTTGTTTCGGGGTTTTCTGTGTCCCTCGGGAGAGTTACGTCACTAAGTCTTGATCCAGGCGTCTGTACCTGGAAAACAACGAAGACTCCAGTTGGGTGGAGTTCCGCCTTCGACGATCAAGTTAAAACGTGTACGAAGAATGTAATAAAGTGCGGAAAGTAAAGTGGGATTTTCTCGGATTCCGAGATCAGGTGTTTTTCTCTGTTTTCGAGAGAATTCAGTGTTTTCAATAATTGAATGAATGTGTTTTCCAAAGTGAGGTAAATCTCCCTATTTATAGGGTCATTGGATTTTGTGCCCCTGTTCTAGGTTACGTAAACTTAGGACTGATGGGCTGCGCCGTTTTTTGGTAGTCTAGGGAATTGGGCCCTGAAAACCGTATTTTCCCTTGCTGATATGGAGTGACACGTGTCAACTGGTGAGTGGCCTTTATTGGAACTGTCTTGAGGTGACACATGTCTTATTCTGAGTGGGTCACGTGACATGAGTATTTTTACCCAAATCAGTTGTAACTATCACTATCCTACAAACTACCGTTGTAAAATCCATTTCTCTAAAATTTCCTACTTGTATTTGTGTTATGATTTGAATGATCAATTAACATTGCCTTTAAATCTGTGTTGCTATGGTAATTTTAAATTACTCGTATACTAGAAAGACCTCTAGCTCAAAGGTGGGTTTTTTAAAGGACACACCCCTAAGGTAATCTTGCCCTTCGCATGGATATCATTGACTTGTTTGCAACTTGCACCAATAGTGACAACTGACAAGTGTGTGTTAGGCACATAATGACGAATCATTATTTTATTGGGTGCGTGCCACGCATTGCATAGACTTTAAGCGCACACACTCTAGGGCTCGTTTGGTTGAATGTGAGAAATGAAAATTCATTCGAAATTTATATTCCTATATAATTAGAATTCCTTGGAACTGTTAAATTGTGTTTGGTTAACCATGGGTAGTGGAAATAATCGTGGGAAGTTCCACTTACCTAGTTTTCCCTAGGTAATTAAATACCTCCACATTGTGAGAAGTGGAAATTTTTGGAAATTTCTACTTCCCATGAATTTATAAATTAAAGTTTGGTTGTATTTTGCCATTCGCCCTTTGGACTAATCTAGATTCAGGGATCAATTTTGGGTGGTTAAGTTCCAGTTCCCGCTTAATTGTTGTTACGGTGGATCAAACACGCATTCTCCCTATTAAGTGTAGTCTCAATCACCACTATACCAACAACTAGTACTGTCAAAAACCGAACCGAACCGGGGAAACCGAACCGATTCAAACCGATCCGAATGAGAACCGAACCGTTTAGAAACCGCTTTTTTTAAACCGAAAACCGACCCGAACCGCATTTTAGTGAACCCGAAACCGAACCGATTCGAGTAACGTTAAACCGTTTAAGAACCGAACCAAAATCTAAACCGAACTGAAAGGAAACCGAACCGAAAATGAACCGAACCGTTTCTAACCCGAAACCGTTTGAACTGCCATAAAAACCGTTATAAACCGAACCGTTTATAAACCGAACCGTTTATAAACCGAACTGATTATAAACCGAACTGTTTATAAACCGAACCGTTTATAAACCGAACTGATTATTAACCGAACCGTTTATAAACCGAACCGCTTATAAACCAAAATGTTTATGAACCGAATCGCTTATAAATCAAACCATTTACAAACCACTTACTACTAGGAGTGGTTATTGGGCGGGTCAATGCGGGTCATTAGCGGGGCGAGTACGTTGCGGGTAAAGGTCAAGTCAGGGTCAAGATAAAAGTGAAACGGGCTATTAACTTCTACTTTCTTTTATCAGTTCCTGTGTTGCCAGTGAGAATGCTCTTAATATTTGTCAAGCAAATCGTTACTACTTTTTTTTAGTTTGATGACTCTCATTACAGTAGAATTATATAACTACAACAAAAATAATAACCAATAATTCAAGACAAATAAGGAACAAAATATCAATAATGTAATGTGATTAAAACTATTAATATTTGTTCTATGAGATTAAAACATTTTAGCAAAAGCCTGAACCACAATTCCATATCTTAACTAGATGCAAAACTTTCATCTATCACTTCTTTACCAATGTCAAGGACGTCTTCTTCAATATCACAATCATAACCACGTAACCAATTTTGTGTTGTAACCAACGCCTCAACATTCTTAGGCAAAAGCGCACTCCTATACTTGTTTAAAATACGACCACCCATGCTAAAAGAAGACTCAGAGGCTACCGATGTAATAGGAATGGCCAAAACATCCCTAGCCATAACAGCTAATATGGGGTACACACTAATTTGAGATTCCCAATACTTGAGAACATCATATTTCTGCCCTTCATAAATTGGTTGCCGAGGAGTACACAAATAAGAATCAATCTCCATCGATGGCCGATTTGATGGGCCATCCTCATCATCATCATCATCAACATACTAGAAAAGTTCAAACAAAATGCTTTATTAAATAATAAAAATTAAAACATACAATTATTAATTTTGTAAACCACAATAAACAGAAATTGATTACCTTGAATATGTCATCATCCAAGTGACTATTTGATTTATCGATAATAGCTGGGATGGAGGGTGGAACAATTGTACTTGATGTAACACCGAAAGACATAGAATAATAAAAGTTGTACAACTCCAAAAGAGCATCTTTAATTACCTTCGCCTTTTCAACACATGCCTCATCAACATAAAGCACTTTTAACATCTTCGTCACTCGAACAAGCTTATAGCGTGGATCAAGAACAATAGCAATTGAAAGGATCAAACTATATTCATCCCAATAGCCCTCAAACTTTTCAAGCATAACTTTTGCCATGGGTGCAAGTTTAGGGTCTATATGCGCTTTACTTATTGTGTGCTCAATTTTTAAAACACTAGCGAAATACAAATTTGCAGTAGGATATTCTGAACCAGAAAATAACACAGTGATTTCATAAAATGGCTTTAAGAAATTACATATTTTAGTAAGGGTATCCCATTCATCATCCGAAAGTTTGAATTCATAACCCATAAACCTATCGATAACCAATTTCAAGGCTTCCTTTGCTTCTAAAGCTTTTCGGAGCATCGTATAGGTGGCATTCCAACGAGTCACAACATCAAGACGTAACTTTCCATTAAACACACAGTTAACCTCATGAAGAGCATGCTCAAATTGAGTGAGTCTAGAGTCTGAAGAATCAATATATTTACAAACCTCACGCAATTTTTGAACACTACTATCAACTTCTTTTAAACCTCTTTGAACAATAATGTTCAAGACATGAGCTGAACATCGAATATGAAAAAATTTACCATTACAAGGAAGAGGAGAAGTCAACATTAAATCTTTCTTCAAAAGGTTAACCATAACATCCATGGATCGAGCATTATCAACAGTCATTGCAAAAGCTTTACCCTGAAGGTTCCACTCCCCAATAAGTTTTAACACAAATTTTTCTACCTCAACACCAGTATGAGGAGGACCACAATAACGAAAATTCAGAATTTTAGACCTAAGACACCAATCTTTATCAACATAATGTGCCGTTAAAGTGAGATAACCTCGATTAGTGCATGCTGTCCACAAGTCACAAGTGAAGCTAACTCTACCTTCAATTCCAGATAAAGATTGCAACAACAAAGACTTAAACTTATCATGCTCAGCAATACAATATTTCAAAATAGTGTTTCAACACACATGGTTCACGTTGGGATTCAGATTCGTAAAAACTTCCCTAAGGCCATGATGCTCCACAATACTTAAAGGATAAGAATGCAAAATTATAGCTCTAGCAAGCAATTGTAAATGACGAGTTTGATTAAACGGGAGCTCAACACCAATTTCATGATTTCCTGGATGGTGTGGATTTTTACCCATGCATGTCTTAGTATGAGCTTTACAAGTTGAAGTACCAGCCTTACCTGGTGTTTTATATTCATTACCGCAAACATTGCATCGAGCATATTTTATCGGCGCAAGACCAACCATCTTATCAAAAAAGGTGTAATACCTCCAAACATCTGATGTTCGTCCACGCTTACTACCACTAGTGGTATGTTGAGTAGAATCTTGATTCTGAATAGTAGAATCCTCATCAAAACCGATAAACTCTTGCTCCATTGCTGAAAAAACAGAAACACAACAGCCTAAATCCAAATATGCCCCAAGAAGACAAAGTACAACTGTTAAGTTAGCCAATAAGGCACTATTACTAAAATCAATTGGCAAGCAAATTACTTTCACATATACTGTAACTTAAAATAACTCTATTAATTAACCACTAAAATAAAATACCATGCACCCAAAACTAAACCAGCTAATCTGAACCAAATTAGTGTTGACTATTTCACACTAAAATTTCCAACCAATCATACTATTTAGTAGTGATACACTACCAGATTTATAAATTACTAAAATTAGTAGTAGTTGCTTTATCTAATTTACTTCAATAAGTCAAAACAATGGATTAAAATGACAAGATTCTCTTTCTATTGGAAACAAACCAACTTGCATTAAACTATAATTAGCACACAAAAATTCTTTAGTGTTTATACCTGATCATAACATTAGAATGATATTTTAAACTGAAATAGTGTAATGATTTATTGGGTTCCCTACCATACAAAAATTCTAATGCTTTTATAACCACAAGATTTGTCTCCCACTGTCCCTTAGATATTCATAATAGAGGGTGATTAGTATATGCCATCCTGGTCTATAGTTCAGGAATTATATGAACAACAAAAAACAAAAACAAAACAATTAAGTGAAAATTACCTGGAGCTGTGACGGCTTGAAGGAGAAGAAGAATTGAAGATGGAGAACTGGAGATCGAACAAAAAAAACGACAATAGAGAACTCGAGATCGAAAATAAACCGAAATAAAAAAAAAATTAACTGAAAAATTACCTTGAGCTGTGACGGCTTGAAGGAGAAGAAGAATTGAAGATGGAGAACTGGAAATCGAAAAAAAAACTAATTACATTTGGAGAAATTGAGATCGAACAAAAAACCGAAATAAAAACAAAAAAAATTAAGTGAAAATTACCTGGAGCTGTGACGGCTTGAAGGAGAAGAAGAATTGAAGATGGAGAACTGGAGATCGAACAAAAAAAACGACAATGGAGAACTCGAGATCGAAAAAAAAACCGAAATAAAAAAAAAAATTAACTGAAAATTACCTTGAGCTGTGACGGCTTGAAGGAGAGGAAGAATTGAAGATGGAGAACTGGAGAACTTCAGAGTGAGTAAGGATTCAGCGCTTGAGGATGAAGAAGAAGAACCGAAGAATCAGTGTTTGATGTGGAGCAAAACGGCGAATTGAAGATGATGAATGAAGAGGAGATGACCTAACCAGGCTAATTCAATTCACGTTTCACCACTGTTTTTTTTTTTTTTTTTTTTTTCCTCTTTTGCAATATATTATTTAATTATTTAACAACCAAAATATCTAAATTCTAAATTTAAAATTTGTTTTTCCTTTTAGTTTTGGAGGGAAATTTCCCACCTTTCATATTTTGATGAAATTGTCAACCAAAAAAATGAAATCAATTTTCCACTTTGTAAAAATCAAAATTTTTAATTTTATTTTAATAACATTAAACGAAATTTTATACAATTAATTAATTACATGGCTTCAAAAAAAAACTAATTACATTTCTCGAATCCCGATAAAACGAAATATGCCTTCATAATATCAGCTTTTATAAATTTTTTTTAACACACACATTAAAATATTAAGTTCTTTAAATTATAAAATGTGAATCGGTTAGCGTGTAAATGTCTAGCGTTGCGATTAATAAAAAATCGAACACTGTTTAATAATATAATGACGTCATATATCTTAGAGAGTAAGAAGTACTACGGATTAGTTATATGGTTATTTTATATCAGTTTAGTTGTACCTATAAGCAAATACACTTGTAATCGTGTAAACTTATAAATTGTATAATTGACTAGTAGATTAGTACATAAATACAAATTACTTATTTAGATATGAGTTATGACTACATGAGTGATTGACTAATATGACTATATCAGCAATTGTCAATTTAGCATAGTTGCATAACAGATTAGCAGTGTACTAGACTATCCTACTAGGTAATATACTAATACCATTTCAGTATTTGATCTATTAGACTCAAGTTAAACGCTACTCTTTCTTATTAACTTGTTAGTCTAATTAAGTAATTACTAATTACTAATTAGTAATTAGTGACATAAGCCTTAGGGGTAAACCAATAAAGGATATAGAAAAATATAATAATCTTATGATTCTCATCCCTTTATACTAATAATATTTAACTATGAGAATATGAGATGGTTATATGTTATTTATATGTTAATATGTATAATCGGTTGAAAGAGTCAATATTACCTTCTTCTTCATTAATGTGTTATTTGATTATACAAATCAAACTACTTTGTAATATATAACTTTATGCAAATATATAATGATAAACAAGTCTTAATTATCAGTCTTGTTGACTAATTAAGTATCGAATACCAAATTGAAAATTTCGATGTCACAATTACTCATCAAATCATGATTATGACATTATTAATTAACTAAATGATCAAATAAGAAGCAGATAATAATCTGATAGTAAAACAATAATACATTAATGCACTAAACTTTTATAATCTACTTCCTAATAAACTAGTAAGATCAGTATGGCTAAACTAAATACATAACATGATATGTATTTATAAAATTAATGAGAATTTGCATATAATATGATGCCTCAATATGAAGTGATGAAGTCTCGACTTGATATAAAACTTGTTAACTAGCAAAAAGTTAGAAAGTAGTATAAAATTTCAAACCAAAACTGTTTGATTGCCCAAATCCAAACGACTCGATAAAAAAACCGGTTTTTTGAATCAAAACCAGACTCGAACTGTAATTTAGTAAAGCTGAAATAAAACCTATCCAAGTAATGTTAAATCGTAGAAGAACCGAACCCGTTAACGAACCGAACCAGTTATAAACCGAACTAAAATGAAACTGAACCAAAAAAGAACCGAATCGTTTCTAAACCGAAACTGTTTGAACCGGGATAAAAACCGTTTACACCGAACCGTTAACAAACCGCAACCTGTCTGCACCGAACCGTTTACTACCCGGACTGTTTACAACCCGGACCGTTTACAACCCGAACCGAATTTAAACCGGGATAAAAACCGTTTACACCGAACCGTTATCAAACCGCAACCCGTCTGCACCGAACCGTTTACTACCCGGACCGTTTACAACCCGGACCGTTTACAACCCGAACCGAATTTAAACCGGGTTAAAAACCGTTTACACCGAACCGTTAACAAACCGCAACCCGTTTGCACCGAACCGTTTACTAACCGAACCGTTTAGAACCCGAACCGAATTTAAACCGTTCAAGAATAAACCGAAACCGAACCGAACCGATAATTATTTAAACCGAACCGAAACCGACCCGTAAGACATTTGAACCGATTTCAAACCGACCCGATTTCAAACCGAACCGATTTCAAACCGAACCAAAACCGAACTGTCAAACCGTTTTGACAGTGCTACCAACAACCAATTGATTTATTTTATTGTGTACTCTCTAAGTAAATCATACCACTTAAGGCAATTATTTGTATATTTTATTAATAAGTGGCATGGGAGCCTGAATTTATCACCATGAGAATCAACTATTTGCGGTTTAATTGTAACTTCTCATCAAGGGGCTGATTCCATGAAATTGGCCAACAAAAAAACAACGAAAGAAACAAAGGAAGGAAACCTGCAAGGCAAGAGCATCCATATCAGCCCTCAGAGCAAAAACGGGCTTTTGACCCGACCCGATAGAAGCGATGACCCCAGTCTTGGCAACAGGCCATGCATACTGAATTCCCAGCGAGTCAAGCTCAGACCGAATGAGTCGACTCGTCTCGTACTCTTCGAACCCCAATTCTGGGTTCTGATGAATCGTCCTCCGAATCCGTTTCATCCATTCGAACAATTCGGATCGCCTCGCCGCTTCCAAGAGCTCCCGACTCAGCGATTCCAGGTCCGAGCTCGCCCATTTGGTGTGGGTCGAGATTACAAGAACAGCCGTCAGTAGCAGTTTCAGTAACATTTTCACCATAATTTGAGGATTATTTGTAAGAATAGTTTGATACTTGATAGTGCAAAATTAAAGGACAATTAAATAGGTGGTTGTAATTTTGTGATTTTCATTCATTCCGTTTTCAAGGGAAAAAATTAGTAATGTATGGTTGGTGCACCCAGAAAGAACATTAGGTATATTTAAAAGAATATGGGCGAAAAAAAAGAATATTATAAATATTTATAAAGAACTTGAGCATATAATATGTTCTTTGAGTTTGAACTATATGTTCTTTATATTATATAATATGTTCTTTAATGTATGTACATTTAAAAAAAAAAAAAAAATCACCCGAGTAACTAGAAAAAAGAACATGTTCTTTACTATATTATCATGTTTTTTTTGTAAAGACTTTATGTTCCTTGGCTAGAGGTGATCAAAGTTAGACCGACCCGGCTTGATTTTGGACGGGTTTTGGACAGAAATACTTCGCCCCTAAATCGGATCGGACCCGACCCGTAAATTTAAATTTTTGGGCGGGTTTGGGATTGCGTTTTTATGCATTTTAGTTGATTTTTTTAACTCAACCCGAAAAGCCCGCACGGCCGGACCATTTTGGGCAGGTTTGAGCACAAAACTTCAGCCCAAAACTTGGCCCGACTCGAGAAGTGAGCTGATTTCTTAACCTTGGCCCGGTCCGCCCAATGATCACCTATTTCTTTGTCAAACACGAACATGTTCTTTTTTGTCAAATATAATGTTCTTTTTCAAACACGTTCAACCACCTAAGTAACCATGAAAAATAAACATGTTCTTTTTGTAAAGACTTTATGTTCTTTGTAATGTCATATTCTTGTCAAACACAAACATGTTCTTTTGTCAAACACAGGTATATTCTTTTTCAAACACTAACATGTTCTTTTTTTTTGCCCATGTTCTTTAAAATATGTCTAATATTCTTTCCGGGTGCACCATGCGCATGGTGCACCCGGGTGTACTATACTATTTTCAAAAAATTAGCGTTACGTCTTCGGCAGTAGTATTTGTGACGCATTTCCATTAGTAGTAGTTGCATTTAAAGATGGCAATTACGACGAATTCACAATTTCAAACACAACATTTTGACAGTATTTAGTTTTAACTACTTACTGAAAAGTACACATTGACACCGTTTCAACAACAATTTACCCAAGACACCGTCGAATTTACAACGTTATTATTGTTATTGACGACGAGAGTCATTACTGACGAGAACTTTTAATTTATCCAAGTTGACCTGATGTAAACCAACTCCACCCTCGTCGATAATTAGTGTTTAGCCCGTGCAATGTCCTAGGTCGATACTTTAAATTTACTGCATTATAGTTTAAATGTAGTATTACTACTTCTTTCGTTTTATTTTACTTGCAACATAACCTTTATACGAATACATACAGTTTTAGGAGGTGATTAATAAAGGTGAACAAGTATTTTTTTCCAAATTAACTTTAACACTAGGATTAGAGAAGGGTTAGGTACCATATGTAACATTTATTTTGATTAATTTGGTCGTTTATATAATACTAGTTGTGACCCGTGCGCTCGGTTTCCCAAGATATCGGGATTAGTTGTTTAGTATTGATCATTTGGTAATTAAAGAAAAATTATGGAAGGATTAGTCGATGTATTTGTGATTACATATGCATGATAAGTAATTAGTTTTAGGAAGGAATAATGAATATATATACATCTGTCAAAAAAATACATTATTGTAGGTAGGCAGGAATATATATTGAAGGTTCAATGGGCACTCAAGAGGGGGGGGTGAATTGAGTGTTAAGTAATCGTTGGCTAATTTTGCTTCTTTTCGGATTATGTGTGAGGAACCAGTTGTGCTGGTTCCCGTACGCAGCGGAATATAAATAAGCAATAAAGAAGACAACAAATTTAACGAAATAAAACAAAGCAATAAAGAACACAACAAATTTAACGAGGTTCAGCCAACTCAGGCCTACGTCCTCCTATCCTAAGTTCTTTATTAATCTACTCCGAAAAACAAAGACAAAGAACACTCTGCTGTTCCCTACTCCGGGAACCAGCAAACCCCACACTCTACTCCGAGTGTGCTCTCGACTTACACTCGTAAGCCCAATGTGTTTGAACTCACAAACACTCACCCAGCCTTTAACCCCTTTGTTAAAGACTCAATACAAGAATCAAGAACTCCCCTTTGATCTCACTTCTACGAAGCTAATTAAGAGAAAAAGTTTAAGTACTAGAATGCTCTTGTATATGACTTGATGAATGGGATTAGTGCTTAAGTATATGCTCTCAAATAATTGCTCTTTTAATTTCTAGAGAGGCACACGAAATATGTGAAATAAGATGAGTTTATATAAGCTTAGATTCCTAAAACCTAGTTTCCTTAAATCACACAATCTTAGAGAATAAGATATAATGTAATTTTAGGAAAGTTTTTATCTTATTTGATTTAATCACAAAGATAGAATCAATTAAGATAAATACTCCTAGTTTTTAGGTAACCAAGAATATTTCATCTTATTTCCAGCTGCACAAAATATTTTCAAAATAATCTTTTCGAAAAAATCTTTTTGTAAAATCTTTTTCCAAAACGGCAGCTCGAATACAGTGAACCTGGTTCCCCGACCTGGTTCCCTGAATTGAAACATGTTATGAAACCTGTTCCAACTTTGTACCAGATTTCATATCATACTTCAATATACTTTTAAGCACTTATATAACCCAAACATGCAAGCATACTACGGAGCATATTACATGAAAACCTAGATAACATATTAAAGCATAAATCGTCTTTTCTTCATGTAATCTTCAAGACTTGAATCTTCCTTGAATACTTCTATTATGAGCAAACAATCTTTCTTCGAAATATCTTCGAAAAGCTTCTATGCTCCAAGTCTTGGAATCAACTCAACTACTGCACATGTAACATGGTTAATGCACAATAAAGAGTATATGACTGCTTTACCACGTAGCAACCATGGAAACAGTACATACTGGTTCCCTACCAGTACATAACACTTTTATCATATAACTGTTCCCTGTATAAAGACAAGTTAGTTCAATAAGAAAACTCATGTAAGTAATAACTTGTCTGGGGAAATAGTGTTCTATGTTAGCTGGTTCCCCCAACTGTATCGAACACTTTCAAGGACCTGTTTCCCTTAGCTGTTTGTCATCATTCAAAACTATCAATCAAAACCTAAGGGACTCAACAAATTCCCCCTTTTTGATGATGACAAACTTTTGAAGTTCCTGAACCTGTGAACATGCTCAAAAGGAAAACCGTCAAAAACTTCAAGGACTCAAGACTCTTTGGAACAAGTAAGTTAGGCCAACTGGTTCCCTAAACAGAAAATAGAAAATACGAAATAAAAAGACTCAAACTGACTCAATCTAAACTAGCTAAACCTTAGGCTTCAACTTCAGACTACTTCCCCCTTTTGGCATCATTAAAAATTATCCACAAGTAAAAGCAATGTGCACAAGTTAATGTGCTTATCCATACAATGGCATCAACCACCATTCAAGCATTATGCTGCAAAAAGAGATTAGTCAAACAGTTCATACCATAGCAGAGTTAGTAGTTCATACAAGCCAACAAAGTTCAACCAAAGAAGCCCAAATCCATCCAAAAAGAAAGTTCATGGAATGGAGAGAAGTAGACAGACCAACAAAATCAGTTATTTTAGAATAAACATGAGGGTGAGGAAACAAGAACAGAAACAGCATCACTCCTCATCATCATTCTCGTTCCCTTCCTCCTCCTCAAACTTTGCAACATCTTCTGTATTATCATCTGATTCCTCTTCATCTTTGTCACCATGCTCTGCTTAACCCAAAATCATTATATTACTAAGCATATTCTTGTGATTCCCCAATCTGTTTCAAAACCACTTCCTGACCTGCTGGTTCCTCTATTTTTTTATTTATTTTTTTTTTTTATATAAAACATGAGAGATATGTACTGATTCAGAATGTTCTCCTTGTTGCATAACGAGTGCAAAACTGTTCTCCTTGTTGCATAACGAGTGCAAAACTAGCATCACATCAATCAAGCAAAGAGGTTCTTGCTGGTACCCTATTTCTCTTGGTTCCTGGAACAGCGTCAATGGACTGTTCCTCCTGCACCTTCTCAGTGAACTTCTTTAATTGAGTTACTCTATTTCGTACCATGGTCTTAGCAGTGGGTGTCTCCTCATAATAACCAACAACCTCTATTTCATCCTTTTCACTCTGACTTTTCTGAATTTCCTCCAACTTCGGGCTTAAGGACATTTATGCTTCCTTCTGATGTTCCCCCTGAGACTGAGCTGGTTCCTTGAGTGAACAGTAACCGAATGAACAATGATGAATTTAAAGCATACGAGAGAGAGAAAGAGAATTTCGAGTGATGATGATTGATGATCTGCACAAAGGGTTAGTGTATATTTTAACAATGAAGCACAAAGAGAGAAGAAGGAAAGAAAAGAGTTAGTTGAGCCAATAAAAAGCAACTGTAAAGGATATTTTTTAAAATTGAAATCAAAAATTTGGTAATTATCTTTTACCATAATTATCTCAACCAACTATAAATAAGGCATATGATATGTTTGCCTTTTATATGGGATTAAATAACTGAAATAAGATAAATTCCTTCCAAAAGGAAATATCTTATAGTAATCTTCCGAAAATAAAAGATATTATCGGATGACATATCAGAGCTGGTCTGCTGTTTCCCTTTGCTGGTACCTGTATAGAACCATGTCACGCTGTTTCTGGCAATTCAGCCTGATTTCACCTGTTTCTTACAACAATGATTCTCAATCCTTTTGAGATTTTGAATCATCTACACAACACTTGAAAGATATCAACATAAGTATGTACACACACTATACAAGAGAATACCATTCTAACCAATCATTGAAGGAAGTAATTGAAGCCAATACCTAAAATCTAACTAGACCTAAAAGGACTCTTAACCTACAAAAAGACTCTCTACACAAAGGCTTTGTGAAGATATCAGCAATTTGATCTTCACTTTTACAAAACAACATCTCCACCAATCCTTTTTCCACATTGTCTCTTAAAAAATGGTGTCTTATTTCAATGTGTTTTGTCTTGGAGTGTTGCACAGGATTCTTTGAAATATTGATTGCACTAGTGTTATCACAGAAAATAGGAACACTTTTATAAATAACACCAAAATCTTTCA